TTCGCAAATGACACTTTGCATCTCTGTAAATCTGATTAGAGCCTTCCATATGCCGTCTTCCATATGACTTTTAACAAAAAATACCTCAAAATAAGACTGGTTATATGGTATGTGGAATATCTTATGAGGTATCGTCTGCCCAATTGTTGGTGGATCGTTTTGATTGGCAGGCTTAATCAGCACAACCTGTATTGAAGAAAAGGCATGAGAGCAGGGAAAAAAAGTAATGAAAAAATACTGGTTTAACACAAATACACACCCTGGTGTACAGCCTTGCCTTAAAACAAAGAGGTGAATATGGATCTGCAGATAAATTATGGTAGTCAACCCCTTTGACAAAAAATTAGTTTACCCCTGGATCAAACTCTCCAAGGGACTTTCTTTACGGTTATGAATACTGAGACAACCCTTACCTGAGTTACCCTGGCTAAGCTAACTTTTCACTTATTTCTATGAAAAGAGCTGTGCCTGCTGATAATCTGAGCATGATTTAAGATGTAAGTATTATATACAGATTGCATTTGAAAATGGGTGGCCATGATAAAACAGACTGCCGACTGCAGACTGTGCACAGTGCGCAGACTGTGCACAGTGCACAGACTGTGCAGACTGTGCAATTTTTTTGTTTGCTTTTTCTTTTAAACTGTGATGTACATATGATAAAGGTGTATACGTCTTTTTCTTACTCTTTTGGTAACATTGGAACTGTTTCCAATTTTTGAACAACACATGACAAAATTTTATAAGGTTATTTTCGAGCTCACATTATCCAACAAAATAAAATTGCAGGCTCAAGTTTCTTGAGCTCATGGAGATTATCCCTACTCTGAAAGATGTGTTGCAAATGTAATTTATGTGGACAGTGACACTGATTTAGAGGTACGGAATGTGCTATGTAGATGAAGCAAATGATTACCAAGATCTTCACAAGACAGCCTAAAGAACTTTACAGAGAAGAAAGTGTTGAACCATAAAATCTAACTTTACTAGAAAATAAGGTTTTTGAACCAGAGTAGAAGACTGATGGAGAACTTTGGCCATGTCAACTTAATCTCTGATTCTATCGCAATGCATGCACAATGTGTGTGAAATTAAAATTAAAAGGACAATTTCCAAGTAACCAACAGACGGGACTCAAGGTTTCATCAGTATCTTTTTCGTTTTACCAGAAATCGAAATATAGAATGAAAAGATCCAGTATTCTGGTTGAATCAAAGTTCTGCAAACTTGAAAAACAAGGCACGGAACGCATCACGCACCAAAAATGTAGCGGCATTTAAAAAGCCACTCGTTAGTTGTTCATTTCTCCTTATCATCCAATCAAAAACCAGTTCCCAGCAAAGTTTCTTGACTTCCACTTGACGTCCACCGAGGCGTAAAATATAATTTTATAAGCCAGAAAACGTATCTTTTTTCCTCAGGCTGAAAAAACTGCATAATACTAGTGAAATTGGATAACTATCGAAGTCGACTGGGTTAGTAGGTCATAAAGGAATTTGTCGGATGTGCAACAAATTCATTCACGTTGTTGGCCAAACCTCCTTGTTACTGTGTTGTAATTTTAATTATGTCTGTAATTTGTATTTGAAGTATGACAGCAAAAATTTGTACAAAAAAATTTCTCAAAAAAATTCACGAATTTGTCATTGTCTCGCGAGCTGTAACAGTCGAAATATTCCATTGAACAAAGCGCGGTCTGCACGGTCTAAAGTCTAGCATGACCGTCACAGATTCCTTTTGCACGATCGAAAATTCCAAATAATTATGAACTCCTACATGCAGGACCACCAAAGCGAAAAGATTATACAGTATGCCGCACTACATCTTTATTTTTTACTTTCCTCTGTATCGCCGTAAACGATGGCCATGTAGGTCAGAGATACTTCTGCAAGGCTGCTCTAGACCTTACCTCGTGTCCGCG